TAATTCGGAGATACAGGCTTCAAGATAGAGCTGGCCTTCTGAACATCAACTAACTTTTCCCAATAAAAAACAATAAAAGAATTGCAACAGTAGGAACATTTTTGGAACTCCCATAACATCCTCTTTAAAAATATAATGACTATTTGACTTTGCATATAAGCACTTGACAGTTTTTTAGTTTTTGCAATTTGGTTTTGGTTTTGGTTATCGCGTTTTGCAATTTTTCCCTTTTGCATAGAAGTCCAAGTACCTCTTACGAAAGAGTTGTCTGGCATGACAACTGCTAAAAAAGAGGAGATTTTTGTTTTTCTAAAGTATATATATATATATATGTGTACATCATTTTTCATCGCTGTCTTACTTACCTTCGGCGGGAAAGTGTAGAGAGATTAACTTCTTTTTCCCCTTTAACGAAGCATCACCATTTTACTGGTTCAAAATGTAATGGGTAAGCACGAAGTAAGAAAGCGAAGAAATAGCTTATTGGTAACAAGGAGTCAACCCGGTTATATATGGCTCAATACACATTGAGCTCGCGATTTTTTAAAGATTTCAAATGGCAGCTGTCAAAGATGGCTACTGTTGGATTGAGGAATAAGTTCGTAGCGTTTTTTCCAGAAACTTTTATTTAAGCAGAAGTCAATGGTTTTAGCAATAAATTAACTAATAATGTATTCGCCGTTGCTGTTTACTATCCCTTCCCACCTCTCAACCAATTTGTCGATACCAATGTGAATCGTCATTCAAAATCGCCATTCTGAAACTTTGCAAACCATTTACGTGTTGTAAGCTCGGCTATAACACCTTCTCTGTAAGCGTTGCAGATCTCCCTCATTTCATCGAGGCTAAAACTCTGCTGAGGGCTGCCTCAGCAGAGTTTTAGCCTCGATGAAATGCAAAAAACAGCAGGTGTCGAAAATGCTTCTTTTTACCGCCTTGATACTCCATTTCTAAGCCTCCAAAATAATGAAAGACAAAACTACTCAAAAGGGCGATTACCGCTGCTTTGTAGAGCAGAAAATGCTCTAACGAAAAATAACTATACTTTCTGTTAAAAAGCAAAACATTGTTGAAAGTATAAGAATATATAAAAACGCTACAAACTTATTCCTGCCATTTTTTTCATAAGAAAAATGATTCAAGAAGCATTGGTGTTAGCGGCACATCTATCATTCAAAAGAAGAAGACCTGCACAAGATTTATGCTTGGCTTGTTCAGTGTTTTTGCCTTTGTTGAACTGGAAGAAAGATTTACAATCGAGGCCAAAAAAAGTTAACCACATCACTTTTTCTGTTCGACAGGGTGCCAGAGATCCAGCAAATGTCACTTTTTGGAGTAGTTCGCTATGCTGACTACGATAAGTCCTTAGTCACAACGCGACCTCACTGCAGGATTATCTAGGTACAGAATCATGGCTTTGTTTGAAGAGCATCTAATGGCTGTATTTGACGCGATAAATACAAAAATTTCACCCCTATCGCACAAAGGCCTCATTTAGAACTAAGGTAGGTGTACGGTGGAAGCGTGAAAATCATCGATCACCTGAAAGGGGAGAAATTGATTTCTATGCACAATGGCTTTACATAGGAAATGAACTCAATTTTTCCCTCAGCTCGTTATTCAACCTCAGTGAACTACTTGAACTTTTCAGG